CCCACCAACCCATAACCCGCAATCCCCGAAACCGACCAACCCGTCAAAACGGAGGGCTCACCTCACCGGCATGCGTTGCGCGTGCGGCTGCATGACCAGCACCACGCAACCAGACCGCCAGACCGGACCGGACCGGACCGGACATGTATGTATGCATAGATGTATGTATGGGTGTAGGTATGCGTAAAAAACCGTATAAACGAGTTGAAGAATGAAAGAAGAACGAAGGAACGAATGAACATATGAATGCACATGTATGCATGTGCGTACATGTCTTCATGCATACATGCATCTCTGAATGCCCGCACGCAATGCACATCTGCACGTATGTACATGTGTAGGTATGTATGTACGTATGTATGTACGTATGTATGTCTGCATGCATGATTCTGCACGTATGTATGTATGTATGTATGTATATATGTATATATGTATATATGTATATATGTATGTATGCGTGTGTGTGTGTGTGTGTGTGTGCATCATGACGTGAAAGTTAAACATGGTAAGTGAGCTAACTATGCATGCTCTCTCAGGGTTGGGCTCCATGAGGCTGATGGCTGGACCGGTTCTTCAGGTCAGAAGGGGTTCAGTGTTGAAGGAGGGCTTTCTGCATGCTGCGAGTTAAGGCCCGTTAAGAGCAAGCACTTCAGTTATGTACGGAGTTAACACCTTGAACCTTAAAGGGCTTACGCGGCCACGTTTCTCAGGGCTACAGCTGGAAATAGCACACACGAGTATGACTCGCACAATGCAGACTCAGGATCGAATAAGGCAAGCACCGACAGACCGACCCACGCCCACCGAAACGCAAAAAGTGAGTCCACAAAAACCTGCTCGAGGCTCAAGCAAGCTGCGAAAGCGAATTTGTGTGTTCGCCTGCAGCTCTTCGGATACAAGCCTCTCAACACTTTAGTGCATGAATGTGCGTAATGATACTCCAGGGCAACTAAAACACAAGTAGAGTGATAGAGGTCCCTTGGTTCTTGTAAGATCGTCTCCACGCACTCGTACGCCTAATCACGCAAACACACATACACAAACACAGAAACACAGCTGTGGAACGACAAAATGTGCCAGTTGCAGGACCTCTGCCCGTTTACCATGTATATAGCCGGATAACCTTGAAGGCCAAGCTGCTAAGCTTTAAGCCTGAAGCCATGTTTCCACTCCCAAACCAATACCTACGTTAAACCCAAAAGACCATCAGTTTTATTCGCATAATGACTTTTATTATAGGAGTCCTGATGCTAAAGGTCTTACAGATCTGGGGTAGGCTCCTAAATTAAGTCACGGCGAGAAGCCACGGTGGATCCACCGGGCGACAGGCGACAGCTCCCGCCATATGAGAATTGATCCTCAACGGAGTCTTGAACACTTGACCCTAACCTGCTCTACTTACCCTGAGGCTCCAAGTCCATACGCAAGGCCTGCTTTGGCCCTTAAGTCTGTACAAAGACCTACCTTAAAGCCCAAAACATCAGTTTTGGGGTTTCATACAATGACTTTTCTTTAGAGTCTTAAAGCTGAAGGTCCGTGGCAACAGAACATACTCGGCACTTTTTGTAGCAAAATAAGGGTTCTCTTGAAGAATTCCAAATACGGGAGGGTCTATGTCATGGATCGAGGTGACTTTGTGAAGCCTGCACATCACGCAGTGCTAGAGTTGCGTCAGTCGGACTCAAAAACACTGGGCACGGTCAAGAGGAATACCGACGTATGAACTACCCAGCCGCTTCATAGAACACCTACATAAACCAACAACTTTACGTCTTACTTGTGAGTACACTACGGATTGAGCTATATGCAAAGTCCACCTCGCGACTCTCAAGCTGACGCTCAGAACATTGAGGAACTCACTCTGCAGCTGCGGGATTGTACCATATCCTTGAGGTTCAGTCCAAGCCGACGGCTTACAGTGACTGCTCGCGAAGCTTCACCTGCTCCTTCTAGTTCTACCTTGTGAAGTTTCTCCGTTATTGGAGCCTGCGCGTGCCGGAGCACCCCTTGCTGGTCCGAACCCGGACAGGAGCAACAGCTCTTCTACCCGCGCCATCCTCGAAGCCACTACCGCCAGCTGGAGGTCATCGACTTGGGTCATCTCGCTGCACTTGCTAGATCGGTGAGTGCCATGCCCGGCTGGACTGCTATTTTTTTTTTTGGCGTGAATGGGCCTCGTCGACTACGGCTGTAGCACTCGGTCCCTACAAGCAAACTAACAAACAACTAAGCACAGAACTACAAAACAGTGAGACAAAAGCGAAGCTCTGCAAGCTGCGGCGCACAGGCTTTGCCGGTGGAAGCCGTTCAGCAACTACGAAGCCTCAGCGACCGATCCGAAGCAACAAAGAGCCGTCGCTCTGAGCCGCCCAAAGCAGCAGGTGGAGCCAAATCCAAGCTCCGGCAGCCGTTCTAGTCTCGACAGACAACGGACAGCCCCTGTGCTTTGTTTCATCACGATCGAGCACACCAAAATCCAAAAGTCCAACGCCCACCGTGGCGAGCGGCTTCTAGACATGATGCGGAGCCAGAGTCTTTGCGACTCAAGCCGGCCAGATGCGACCGCACCCCGAGAACGAAAACAATCGATCCACGGTGTGCAACAGTGGCGAATGGGATGCTGGCGTCCAACGCCGCCAATCGCCGCCCACAATGCGTGTGGCCAGGCCAGGATGCGGACCGTAGGGAAAAACTTGTTGTGCGTCGAGACCCAGCACAGCGCAACTCAGGAACGTTCCAAGAACGCAGCATCAACGTCTAGGTGGCAAGAAGACGCTGCATCGAATCTGTCGCACTGTTCGTCAGGTCAGCTCGTCTTCCTCCAAACCCACCCCGCTGCCAATTCGGCCAAAGATGTCGGCGACCGGCTCGCAAGCAGTCTGTACCACAGTCTCGGGCGCGCCCCAGGCACGCAGGAGCAGGCCCCGCTAAGGCTAGGAGTTGCTTCTAAAGCATCGGTCTCCAAGAGAATCTGGATATCGCTCTCCAGAGAGAGCTCCTGCTCAAAGCTCGCTGGGCCATCCTCAGTCCGGAAACCGGTACGGTAGAAGGGCCTTTAGGGAAATGAATGCTCTACAAGTCCCTTCTGGTGCTGTCGTGAGAAATGAATGCTTTTTGGTGTTTTCACCATCTGCGTCCCACAGTGAGGCACATCGCGTTTCCCTTGCTGGGTGGCTCTGCCTACTGGCGGGAATAAGTTTTTGGGGGCTGTTACTCGTTGGCAGCGGGCTGTTGCTACACTCGGATGCTTCGGTGCTTGAGTGAGCAGCAGTTGTGTCACAGACCTGACCCGGGCTTGCTTCGATGGTGCTCTCCTAAAAATCGGCCGCTGCGCGAAGCTGCTTGGATGTTGTCGCTGGGCGCTCCAGTCACTCTGAAGCGAACGCGCTGCCTTTAGCGCCTTGTGCTTCGCACGGTCTGATATTAGCACAGCAGGGGGAGACCGTGAGCCCTGTGTAGTCATTCTACCGTGTGAGTCAGTGACGTTCGAACCGGTTAGGATGCCCAAGGCCCTGAGGTAGGCCCTTTTTCGGATCAGGCCCAGAAAAGCCTATGACAATGATCTCTGTGCCGTCATAGTCTTCAGGTTGTACGACGGGTACATCCGGCTGAACTGCCACATCTGCGGTTCATTACGACGCTCCAAGGGCATCATCGTTCCTTTATAGCTTGTGCGTATTTCGGGCGAGCAGCTCCATGCACCGGTCTTGGTGCTGCATGTACCTTAGGGCCCGCTCTTGCGCAGGCGTCATCCTCAGCGCTTGGCTCCGAAGCCTGAAGATCCTGACCAGTGCTCTGCAAGGCACCGGGAGCAGGACAGTGGCAGCTCCAGCGGTGAGGTCCGAGGCACACCGCCAGAGAAGCTCACTTTTCGAAGTTGCTCGGCGATCCGTGCCAACGTGTGTGCGGAACTTGGAGTTCCGTTGGCTTCTACCCCAGGTATCTGTGCTCACCGGGTGGCTACAGTGAGGAGCGAGGCCGGGGAAAACGGTCAACTCGCGCTCAGGGAAGACCGTCGGTTGTCTGTGGGGTTTGCTGCCTGCTTTTCTTCCGATTCGCAGTGCCCTCAGACGTCGCTACAAACTGCCGGTCAAGCTTTAGTGGCCCTTTGCTTGCTGTCACTCACTTTGCTTTGGGTCCCATATCAGGTGTAGTCACGGGGGAAACCTGCTTATTGTCTTGGATGGGGACAGAGCGCAAGAAGAGTAGTTGTTGGGAGGGCTTCCGAAGTGAACTTTGCAGCCTTCTCCCCAGAGTCGCAAGCACCATTCACTTAAGCTCCAGCCAAAGTGGAAAGCGAAGATCAAAAGGAAAGCGGATCCAAGCGATGCTGCGTGATGTCGAGATGTTCCACGGGCACCCAAAGGCAGCCAGTCCGGACCGGTTGCTCGCAATTTTGCAGTGGAGTCACAAGGAAATGCAAGCATGCCTCGCCTGAATCCGAGGTGAACTTGAGTGCTGTTTTGCATGAGTTGCATGTCGCGTTTGCACCGTATAGTCGTCCTCAGAAGAAGATGCGCCAGCCTTGGAACCTGGTGCCTCTGCACATGAGTCTAAAAGCCGCAAGCCAAACAACCCGAGCTAGCACAGCCCCGTTGGATGCCCGCCTCCCCACTTGACTCCAAAACTGCAAACCTGTAAATGCTGATAGGAAGTATTCCCATCCTTTGATGCCCGTCCTTTTCTCACTGACCGATTGCTCCGCAAAACTTTTGAAGATCCGAATACATGCATGGTACAAAACACGAGGTGCTTAAGGTTGCCAAGCTGTGGATAGCGTCGGTGCTCTCAGAATCTTCAGGGTTGCGGAACTCGAGGATCCCAAAGAATGTCTTGGTTTGTTCTGTGTTGGAAAGGACAGCGACTGGGACCGACTTATCCTCAATCCGGTTGTGCATATTCCTCGCGACTGTGTTGCTCGCTTTCGCGCCGACGACCTAGCCGAATTTTATTACACAGTGTCAGTGTCAGAGCAGAGGGCAAAGAGAAATTCAGTGGCCATGCCTTTCGCCGCTACTGAGCTGAGTCATTTGGCCGCGTTTGATCGAAATAAGCATTGGGGTTCTTGCGTGATAGCTCTGGCTTGCTTGGCTTGCTTGGCTATGGGCGACTGCCACGCGGTGGAATTAGCCCAGCAGAGCCACTACGAGGTCCTTAGGACCATGGGCGGATGCCTTCTGCCTACGGAGGTTGTAGCCTTTCGCCGTCCTTTTCCAAGGACCGCTTTCCGGGAATTCCTTTGCATAGATGATCATGTGTCAGTCCAGATCTTGAGTCGAGCAGCGGCACTACGGAAGGATCCAGCCCGAGACACTCGTGTCTTCGAGCAATCTCATGTTGCTTATGCCGCAGTTGGCTTGCACCCACATCCGAAGAAGTGTCAACGCAATTTGCATCAAGCTACCCTCCTGGGCGCGGACATTGATGGTGTGAAGTGTGAAGGGCCTTGTTTCCGCCCCCCGCGAGCGGACTTTGCTGCTGATGCTTTGAACTTCTGAAGTTGTCCGGCGTGGTGCCTGCACACCTAAGCTCTTGAACGTCCTCGTTGGCTGCTGGATTCACGTGCTGATGTACCGGAGGCCTGCGCTTTGCATTTTGGACCAGTGCTTCAAAGATGCCGCCAGGCATCCCTGCGATGTGGTTGTGCGACTCTCGCGCCGCACTATGAATGAGTTGCTGGCGGTTTCTTGCATCGGCCCTTTGCTTCAGACTGACCTTCGTGTTGGCTGGTGTGGCGAGCTCTTCTGTATGGATGCCAGTCCGACTGGCGCTGGCCTGTGTGCGGCCTCCGTTCCTGCTACAGCCGTTGCCGAGCTTCATCGCTTCGCGGAGCAGCGGGGTTACTACACAAAGCTGGAAGCACCCGCCACGGCCACTCTTCGTGAGCTGGGCCTCGAGACCGAGCCGACTTACTTTGACGCTGAAGCTCCTGCTCCACGTCTTGAGATCCCGCTGCCCCGGTCCTTGTCGGAAGGTATCCTTTATGACTGCTGCGAGCTTTTCCACGAGCCTCGCACTTGGAGCCTTCAGCACGCCGCTTTAGGTCTTGAGGTTCTTAGAATTCCTAGTTCGGGGGGTTCTGAGGTTCGGTTCAACGATCTTCTTCAGCGTGTGGTTTTCCAGGAGTTGGTTTCCCTTGCCCTGCGGGGAGTTGTTCGTGACTGGCATGCGGGCCCACCAAGCGTGCCCTTTTGCAGCCCATACCACCCGGCACTTCGCTCCGCAGGCTTCACAGCGAGTGCTCCTGCTTCGGCAGAGCTAGCCGCTGCTCGCACCACGTTGGGTATTAGGTTGGGGTTGCTCTTCTGCATCATTGCTTTTTCTGGGAGTTTCTTCTCGATTGAGCAACCGGGCTCCAGCTTGCTGTTTACACTTGACTGTTTCAAGCGAGCTTTGCAGTGCCGCGGTCAGTTGGCTGAGTACTGCTACTGTAGCTTCGGGTGTGCCTGCAAAAGGTCTTCAGTCTGGTTGCACAACAAACCTTGGATGATCGACCTTCCTCGAGAATGCTCTTGCTTGATGCGCGCCTCGCGCTTTAGCACTGCCGGGCGCTTTGATGCTAACAAGATATCGGCGTTCGAGCGCTGTTGCACGCCGTCCTGCATGTGTTTGGTCGCGCCGCGGTCCCGGGCGAGGAGGTTTCGGAATTTCTGCTGCAGTACCCGCTGCCTCTTGTCCGGCAGTTGGCAGCCGGGAGCTTGGCTGCAAAGTCAGGCTTGTGTAAGCCCTTCCCTCTCTCTGCTTTGTGGGGTGCGCCTGCTGTGCTCGAGTCAATCGCTGAAGACTGTATGCGGTCGGATTTCGAGCTCTACCAACCCCGTGCACCGCATGACGATCCGGAGTGGATCGGTGAGCTTGCTGATAGCCTGCCCTTCAGGGAAGTGCTTAGGTATCGGTTTGCAAAGCCCAACCACATTAACATTCTTGAGGCTCGCATGTTTAAGACCTTCCAGAAATACCTCGCCCTGCGTTCCCCTGACAGCAGGAGCTTGTCGATGCTAGATAGCAGGGTTACCGTGGGCGCTGTTGCCAAAGGTCGCTCCTCGAGCCCCGCCTTGGTTCGAGTGTTGCAAGGAACATTGCCTTACACGTTGGGAGGTGGGCTCTACAACGGGGCGCTGCACGTGTACTCTGCACAGAACCGCTCCGACGGACCTTCGCGTGGAAAGGCCGTGGACCCGCCCACCAAGGAGCTCCCTCTGTGGTTCACGGAGCTTTGCCAAGGCAGGACATATCGGTTCGACTTGGTCGTCGCTGCAGCTTCGGTCCCCAGAGTCGCCGGCAGATGGCTGAGATTGCTGTTGCTGCTAGGCGGCGACATCGAAACAAACCCCGGTCCAGCCTTGCGGTCTCAGCGAGCTCCACGCGGCCCGTTGGACTTGCGTTCGGGGTTCACCCGGGGCGCAGCTGACCGGATGGCGAAGTGTCTGGACGCTTTTAAAGTGTGGGTGCAAAGTGAGCTTTGGATACCGTTCAGTGTCCTGTGCTCTGAGCCGGGGCCTCTTGCTCTCGCGCTCAGGGGCTACGGTTTGCACCTTTACTCTGCAAGTTTTCCCAGATACCTTTTCGTGTATGCCATCACAGCGATTCAGGACGCCTTCCCTGCTTACCGCCAGCTGATGACTCCAGCTTGGCAAATCGACAAGAAGTGGCAATCCGCAGAACCCGGTGAGTGCCGCCCTGTGATCTCTGTACCGATTGTGCAGGCACTCACGACTCTTGGGCTCATGTGGAGATGGCCTCGCTTCGTCGGGGTCGTCCTCATAGGGTTCCTGTGTATGCTTCATCCGTCTGAGTATTTGCCTTTAACCCGGGGTGACTTGATCCTTCCTGAAGACGTGTTCAGCAAAGATCGCATCGCTTATGTTTCGGTCAAGAATCCCAAAACAGCTCGGTTTGCTCGCCGTCAGCATTGCCGACTCGAGGACGACTCAGTTCTTCGTTTCATCGAAGCTTTGTTTGGGCCCCTCCCTTTCGATGGCCGCCTTTATCCTGGCAGCATGAACACCTTCCGCAGCCAGTGGAACGCAGTGATGCAAAGACTAGGAATCCCCTACAAGAAGGCTGATAAAGGCGTCACTCCAGGCGTTCTGCGAGGGAGCGGGGCTACCCATCTTTACCTTGAAACGGAGGACTTGGTCAAGGTTGCATGGCGCGGCAGATGGGCTCGACAAAAGACTGTCGAGTTCTATTTGCAAGAAGTTGCTGCACAAGTCGTTCTGCAAAGTCTACCGCCTGAAAGCCGTGCGAGAATCGCCGGTCTGGCCGAATTCTCGTCACGAGTGGTCGAGGTGTACACGCGTGGTGTTCAACCCTCGAAGCATCCTAGGAGTGGATAGTCTTGATTTGGGTTCACCTTTGGTTTAGATGTGCAGTCGCCGGGTCGTAGTGTCTGCGGCTAGGGTTTAGTTCCCCTCGCTTCTGCCTGCTGGCACGCCTTCACCCTCCTTAAGTTGTGGTTTAGGCCCTCCCTCTTGCTGAACAGCTCGACCGGAGCCAGCTGGCCTGCGAGGCCGTTTTACACTTTTAGCCGTTTTACACTTTCCGAGCTTCTGCCTCTGGGGCTGAGCCCCGCCGACTTCTCGACACCTTTGGCCTCGCAGAAAAAAGAACGCAGTGCAGCCAGTGCTGCAGACTAGCACTTGCAAACAAGCATGACTGCGAACGCTCAAGAACATTTCGGCTCCCGCCCGCCCTCCCGATAGTCTTGATTTGGGTTCACCTTCGGTTTAGATGTGCAGTCGCCGGGTCGTAGTGTCTGCGGCTAGGGTTTAGTTCCCCTCGCTTCTGCCTGCTGGCACGCCTTCACCCTCCTTAAGTTGTGGTTTAGGCCCTCCCTCTTGCTGAACAGCTCGACCGGAGCCAGCTGGCCTGCGAGGCCGTTTTACACTTTTGGCCGTTTTACACTTTCCGAGCTTCTGCCTCTGGGGCTGAGCCCCGCCGACTTCTCATGAGTTATGGTATAGGATACCTCAGATAGACTCAACATGATATTGGTATTCATTTGGGCCTTCATCACTCCCATGTGCTCCAAGTTTCCATTCGCTGTCCATGTTCTTTCCGTTTGGTTCTCCTCTATACCGGCAGATCTTGGTAATCATCTAGGCTTCTAATTATACCATAAACTCTGTATATCCCCATCTGATCCCTGTAAGCCGTTCGGAGGGGCCTCAATATTCTGCGGGCATTGGAACCCTGGTGTAGGCAAGTTTCGACTTCAGAGTCTTCGTTGCGCTCCTGACACCAAGGCGTTGCTTGGGGCTGAGGGCGTTTAGGGCTGAAGGGCTTTAGGGTTTAGGGTGTAGGGCTTAGGGTTCAAGGTGTAGGGGTGCAGAGTTTAGGGACCGTGGAGCAACGGAGAAAGAACATCCCACTGCATAAAATTACAGTATGGGTCGTGCAGCATCGCACGGTGCAGAACACTATAATTGACATCAACCAATCCAGCCAACGAGGCTCTATCCTTCAACATGTGCCAGTCTGGCCTCGATGACATACGTACGTCACAGTTGGGACTGGAGCCGAGTTGTCGAGCACACAATTTCTAAGGTACTTGCTTCGCAGGGTCCCTTTATTTTCCGTTCCCAAGGTTCAACTCGACGATCCGGCAGTTGCGCTGCTTACGCACGGTTGGATCTAAACCATTCCCCTGCAACAGCTTGGAACATCGCCTGCGCAGCAGCTGGAGCTGGCGCAAGAAAACGTCTGGCAGGGCGCGGCGCTCTTGGCACGGCCTTGGCTGGATACGGCAGACACTAAGTACTCTCTCCAACCAGCAGAAACCATTTGTGTGCCGCGACCTGGGAACTATACGTTCAGTCGGCAGCTTGCTAATCTACGATGTCCAGCTGCCACATGAACAATAATAGGTTGACACTGTTGATGCTCCAGGCAGCAAGCTGAGGGATCAGAGGAAGGATCCACCAGAACTGCTATAGTCCCGTGCGCTTGTATCTGGGGAAAGCTCCTTCCCAACAGGAATCGTTGGTGGTTGTGCTGTCTGAAGTGCATGGGCGGAACGATTATATCTTCCATATCTTAGTGGAGCGTATGTTGGAAGATACTTCGCTTTGATTGGTATGGATTGAGCCTATTTTTGCCCCCACAGGTCTCATCAAACGAGCACGCATGACGCACAGCCAAGCTTGCCAAGAACAAATTATAGTGCACCCACACAACCGCTCGTGCTGGAAACCGGAACCGCCAGAGCCGAGCAGCAAGCGCTCCTGCTGCAGCAGAGGGCTAGTGATTTGATCTGAGAAGTGGTGTCAACAATTACTGGGCCGATGGTGCAAAGGCTTCGCTTTGACGTGCAAGTTTGGCTGTTGCAGAAAGATGCAGGCTTGGCTGCGATACACTTGCAAATCAAATGCACGTGCTGCTCTGCTGCGTTTAAACTCTGCACAAATGTCGATAGCCCGAGGCAGTCCTCAAGGTAGAACTGTTGCCACGGGCCATGTTCCTGCAACCACGCGTTCCCCGGGCTCTTGATGCATATCTGGTATGCACTTTGGGTCTTAGGGACTTAGGGTTTACTGGCAGGCATAACCGCAAGAATACGAAATCATTCAGAACGGTGTTGAAGGCTTGGGCTTTGGCCATAGTAGACTGCATTCCGACTAACTACTACGGGCACATGGGGGATTCCGTTGAAATGTCACCGAAGAGAGGCATTGATGCGTTGTTAGCTTTGTTTCTCTAGAAGTCTTACGCATCACCTGGGAATGGGCTCTTCAGCATGCTGGAAAGCTATTCACTTCTTGTCGTGGCTCTGCAGACTGCCTCGCAAAATCTCAGAAGAGTCAGAAACTCCAAACTCAAGCTGGATACTGTCACCCTATTCCGGGAAGTGAGACGTCTCTAGTCGCCCGCCTGTAGACAGGGCTTGCTTGGACAGGAATAGAGAAATGGAGAAGAATTTAGAACGAGGCAAAAAAAAACAAAGAGCCGAGCCACGACGTCCCATAGTTGCCAAAGTAGATGTTTATTGTCACCTCAATGCATCATGCTAACAAACTGTGTGAACAAGTCAAACACAGGCTTCTGCATGTTGCGGTTGCGTTGACGAATTTGTGCCAAGGAGCTTGGCAATTCTGGAACACCAAATTTGGTGGCATGGATGCCTGCGAATTAAAGCCGTCAAGGAGTTCGACTGCGACGGCCTGCTGTAGTACCGGTACACAAATAGCACTATCAGCGACGCGGACATACACGCCGTCATGGAGCCAAACACACCGTGTGCAACGTCAGGCAGCAACGCACTGAGCAGAGCACGGGCTTAGCAGCCCTCGACTGCTTCGAGCACGAAGTAAACCCAGCTGCGCGAGGTAGATCGCTGATCTCGCTGATACCATTGCAGTCGATGCATATTGGCGGCAAGGCAATCCTTTGCCTCATTGATGGGTGCTTTGCCGCTGCCGAGGCAAAGAAGAGGCATTCTTAATGCAACTGGCCTATGGTCTTGGCTGCAGAACTATTAATAGTGTAATTAAGAAGTTACTTGGGCGACAGTGTGGCCCAAGCATGCCTCTGAGACGGACAGCCACGAGTCAGGATCTTTCTAGCCTGTTGCACTGGCGGAAGCAAATCGGCCTGTCCAGGGATATGCTTAAGGCTCGAAATGCTTCGTAGTGTGCCAACGAGGTCAATTTCAGTGGATTGCGGGCCGAGCGCTAGAAGGCGCATGGACCGAGTGAGGTGCGAAATGCCGGCCCGGCAGTAGTAGCGGCCCTGCGCAACGGTCGAGCTGAGGTGGTAATCGTTGGCGAGAACCCGGCCGTAGGCGGGGTAACCGATGCAGAAGCATCAAAAATGCTGACGTAAAGAGTAGTCTGAACAAGAGACACACGTGGCACACGTGCCAGTCGGACATATCGGCAACACATGTACTCTTGGCAGTGCTGGAAGCTTTGAAGTTGCTTTTAAATTCTGCAGCTTCGCAAAAAAGATTCGGTAGACTTTGCTCCTGCGCTTGCGTTGGAGCTGGGTGCAAGGTCCGAATGGAAGTTGTTGTGCAGGCCGGTAAGTAACTCCACTGTTTTCTCAGACATTACCGCAGCCAGTCGCTTAAACGCCTCTGAACCTCGGTTTCGGGCTTTTCAGTGCAGGGCCTTAGCCTATGCGCCCAAGTTCATTCAGTTCTGGACGCTGCAGGAAGTCCTAAGTCAACCCCATAAGGCACTCTAGCGTTACTTAAAGAACTTGAATTTCCATGTGAAGCTCAATTCAAATGAATCAAGACAAATTTGGGAATCCGGCAGCTCAGCGGCCGAGCGAACTCCGACCCCGCCAGGCCGCACCATCCTAAAAAGATTTTGCATGGACTTTGCGCGCACTTTCGAGCGTTCTAAAAGCCAGCTCTGAGCCTTCCAGGCCGCGTAGAGCGGGTTTCGGCCGGAACCGGAAAGAAGGACTTGCCCCATGAACGAAACAGCCAGAGACTACACCGTAACATGGCGCAGTTTTGAAACATTGATATAAGAGAGATTTTGAAGCGTTCGAAAGCGGTTGGAAAGGCTTTGAAGCTTTGGAAGGGCGTGGAGACGAAGGAGTGGCTTGAAGGGGAGGCTTTAAAGAGGAGCCTTGAACGGAGGTTTAAGGGAAAAGCAATGGTGCCCCTCCAATCCGCGGAGGTTTCAAACAACTTAATATGAACAAACATAAGAAGACGCGAAATCGCTTTATAAGTTTTTTGCGAATTTCATCAAAACAATCACAAACCACAAAAAAAAAGTTTTACGAAATCGCTTTATGCACCCAAGTTGTGTGCAGTCTGGGCCTCCTTGCACCTCCATCCACTGTGGTCTGGTTCCGATGACTACGCTGGAGGGCACTTGTCTTGGCCTTGCGCCGCCAATCCCATCAAGGAAGATGTCACTGATATCTGATATCCAAGAGACGGTCTGCCACCTTTGCGGATCGGGTTTGAAGTGACGCCCGAGAGGCACCGAGTCCGGACGTGTGGACGTGCTCTACCTGGTCCGGCAAGCCTCGGCGAGCGAGAGAGACATGGTCCGGCGAGACTTCGACTCGTTTCTGAGCGAGGCTCTGGCATCTACTACAACCCGCTTTGCACACGTTCGAATTGCTTTGAAAACCAGTCCATGTGTCTGCTCTTTCACTTCTTTTTCAATTCTCCGCAATTTCTGGTGCCAGGGGTAGAGGCAATCTCCAGTAAGACTGTTCCGCCCGAGGATGAGGACGACTTTGGCAAACAACATGCAATCCTGCGCACCTTTCAGGCCACGGGCAGACGACAGTGGCTCATCGAGGCCCTGCTTGTGCTTCGGCAACTTCTCCCTGCAGAGAAGATTGCCTCTCCCTCCTATCCCTTTCGCTG